GTAACAAATTTCATAAAAATTTGGACAAAATCTCTGGCTAAAATTTTGTAAGGGGTTTAAATTTGTTAGCATATTTTTTCTAACACCTTTCACAATATGATCGGATTCTTTGAGATTTGTTTTATAACAAATTTTATAATTGTTACACAATATCCGCGGAAATTTAGAAAGGGGTTTGAAGTTTGTTAGCATAATTTTTTTTAAACAACCTTCACAATATGCAGTAATGCTCCCCTACCCACGGTGGACACATGTTAATATGTCCACCGCTTATGTGACATCCACACATTAGTGATGTAATATGTTCAAAAAGTACATCACCAATGTGTGTATGCCACATAAGCGGTGGGCGTATTAACATGTGCCCACCATGTGTAGGGGAGCATGATACTCACAATATGATCAGATTATTTATTTATTTTTTTTTATTTTTTTTAAAAAAAGTTGTCAGAAAAATACATAAATAGTACTTTTGACTTAAAAAAAATGACTGACTTACTTTTATAAGTAAGAAATAAAAATACACAAGTGATAAATGGTTCAAAATTGGATATTTGGATTGAATATTGCCAAGTCATTTTATTTGGTAACTAAATTGATCCTGTTATTATTGCCTAAATCCGTGTGAACCTCTTTAAAATTAATGATTTTTAGGTTTTCAAAACTCAAATAAATTAATATTCCATAAAATTGGAAAGCATTTGAATTTGAAAAATGTGAGATTTGAATGTGATACACATATTAAAAAATGTAGTACATTTTTGGTAAACAAATCAAATAATTTTGGTAAATCATTTTCAAATCAATTGATGCCCCATACATTGTTTGTGCATATTTAATTAAATTTGGTATGTTATTTTCTTTTTCAAAAAAATATAATTTTACACGTAAAAACCAATTTATTCCATTTTTAGTTATCAGATCTATTATGAAGTAACATGCAATTTCATATTCCTTACGGTATACCTCTACGCCGATTTTGTATGCTTTTTTTTTTTTAATAATAAATATATATTTTTTTTTTTAAATTCAAGTTTTTTATATTTCAAACACAATATACAACACATTTTATATCTTATATATATATATATAAATCGAATAATTTTTTCGTTTGATGTCAATCTTAATCCAATTATTTAGGAAAAAAGTTCAAATAAAATTAAAAGGCGAATGCAAATTATTTCAAATTTAGTCATCTTTTTATTTTTTTAATGAATTAATTTTGGGATGTATATTCGGTGTATATATGCTATTTTTTTTTTTTTTTTTNNTTTTCCAAATAGTAACACACTCCCAATACAACTCTTTTAAGGAACTCTTGATACACATTAAAAAATGTTTGCTAATAATTATCATCCGTAAAATGATCCTCTTTCTATTTCATCAAAAGAATCCGCGTGAATCTCTAAAATTTGACAGATTTTTAGGTTTTGAAAATTCAAATCAATTGATATCCCATAAAAGTTGACAGATTTTTAGGTTATGAGAATTTAAATCAATTCAGATTTTCTATCTATTTTTCTTTTGTAACAAAATTTGTTTGCTTTGAACTTTGTGTCAATCATTATCCAATTAGTTAGGAAATAAAATCAAATCAATTTAATGTCAATCATTGATTATATTACCAAATATGTGAAAATTCTATTTTCATTTTTTTTTTAAATTCAAATTATAGGTAGATGATACATGCACAACTACTATATAAACACCATATTGGTGTGATCATTGAACCAAACATTGACAAAAAATAGTGCGTCGCACAAAACAAACTTTTGAATAAGTTTTTCCACCCCCATTCAAAATGACTTTAGTTTTTGGAAAAAAAATCAAAGATACAAAAGAACTAATAGGCCAATGATCAAGCTACACATTATTATAATATTCCAATGCATTGAAGACGAGCGCAATTATCGAAACGTTCTTAAGATTATATTTCACGACTCTGAGGTAATGTGTACTTATATTATTATTTATATGCATCATTTTATGCTACATTTTTTTTTTGATTTTTTTATTTAATTATTGGATATGTACTTTCTTAGGTAGGATGAATTATTGGTATAATCCGACCCTTCAATATTCCACAATTCATCAACGAAATTGATGAAGGTGACGCATCTTAAAAATATACCAAGTGGAAAGTAATATTGTGATCTACAAACGGATAATTTGCACTTGAAGGATCATTATTAACGGCTAAACTAAGTTTCACAAGTGGAAGGACGAATCCATATTGTTTTGTGCGTTCTAAATTTTTGTTTATTTTTATTTCAAAATTTTATATATTTAATTTAAAATAATAAAATCTATTATGACAATTTAATATGATGAATTGTCTTATATTTTTGTAGATGTTACTAGATGGATGTTCCTGTACAATCTTTTCAAATATCTAGTCAAGGGAATTCCTACCGAAATGGTCGCCTTCTCTTTTATGGACTTAGAGTCAGAATTCTTAACATTATTTATTCATATTGTTAATCTAGTATATATAATAATGGATTTGAATGTTTTTTTAACATATAAAATGATTTTTAAATTTTTTTCGACATTGTGTAGAAAAAACATGAAGAACTGTACGCTTTGGGGCCAATATCTTGACCAGTTGATTGCTTTTGAGCATCATTAAACAAACTTAAGAATATTTTGTCCTCATCATGCAAATGTACCGTGCGGAGGAGTGGGGTGGTATTTCATTAATTTAATATAATAAACTCAACAAATAACTCGATATTTTTTTATTTTGATCGGCAAATCCAATATGTTTTTTAATTATGTGAAGTTCGAATAACCACATCAAAGGATGTGACCATACTCATCGGTGTTGATGTTCCCAAGTTTCGAGATTTTTGTAAGAGGTAAATATCATTTGATAAGGAAATGTTCAATAATATATAGATTTTATTTCATTATATTTAATAATTAGTGATGACATTATATTTCCTTTATTATATAATTTAAATTTTAATTTAAAATTACATTTTAAAAGGGACATAAATAATAAAGCCCAAACAAGGGTACTTAGGCTCGAAACCTTGGGCCGACCTTAGATGGGCGGCCCTCCAGAGAGCAATGGAGTCCGCCACTGTAGGGCATATGGTGTTGATATGGCTCATATATTGACAAAGGAAGGAGGCAGGTTAATGCCTGCGAGCGTAACGAAGCGAACGTAGCGAGGAAAGCGGAGCGACCGAGCGAAGTGAGCGGAGTAGAGCGAGCAGGGTATTTAAGTAAATTAATACCTTGTAGGGTTATAGTATAAATACATGGTGTATTGATGTATTTGTGACTATTGAGAATAATAAAGATCCCTCAGCCGCCGTGGACGTAAGCATATTGCCGAACCACGTAAATCTTGTATTATTTATTTTTTTTGTTTTTTTAATGCGTATGTCATATTGTCATCTCCACTCAACACATGAGCCTTCTTGATCGCCCAGTGACCTCGTCCAGGTAAGTAAGCGACTTGGTTTTAGGCCCAACTCATTTTTATACCTTATTTGCATATTGTCCTATTATCACAACATCCATGTGGGACAAAATTTTGATATTGCCGAATGAATTAAATTAATTTTAAAATGATATGAAAATAAAAGCTCAATTGATTTCCTTAATTTTATTTGGGTTAATCTGTCGTATTTTTTTAACAAATAACTTACAATTATTTTAGTTCGAATTTTCAATTTTCATAGCACCTAGAACATTTTTTTTCATTTAAGTTTTTTTTTTTATTATTTTTTTATTTTTTTATTTTTTTATTTTTAAATAAAAAATCAGCTGGTAAAAAATTCAAAAGAACACAACAAACATCAGATGAAACTAAAACAATAACCTGTACTGATTTTTAAATGAGACCTTATCTTGCTCCCTCTGAAAGGTGCAGTCACGTGTTTGTTATCCACTTCATGTATATAGGAAAGGAGAAATAAAATCAGGTAAAAATTGAATGCCAATTTAAGTTTTACCCTTAATTTGTGAATAAAAATGCAGTCACAAAACCAACCGGGGTCGACTCAAGTGGTGGTAAGCAGTGTGATGTCGTTTAAGTAAAGTCTCGAACAGTCGATCCTCCCGAACAACGCGACCCCACTAAAATCACGTTATAGAAATTCGATCGACAACTTAAAAAAAAAAAAATTGTGATGATGAATTGAGTGAATATAGACAACAGAGACACTACTAGCATGTCCTTTTTTAGCTCCTCCTTTAAAGCTGCAAGACACTACTAGGATATTTGTATCAATATGGCCATGCAAAAAATCGAAGCCATATTTCCTCTGTTCGACCTGTTCGAGCCCATCCCCTGTCCTTGTGCTCCTTTGTGAAAAAATAAATAAATAGAAAACCTTCAAACATGTATCATGTTGAGAATGCCAGTTTCTATAACAATTATTGAATTATTGATAATGGGATAAAGTTTTACTTGTCTCCCCTTTGTCCCCCTCGTGTTTTTTACCGAGTGATCAAGTTCGTTTTCGAACTGTGCTTTTCAATCAGGATTCGAATATATATATATATATATAATGGGGGATCACGTTTTCGATTGGAAGCAGGGTTAGTAAAATAGCTTTGATAGGAGTATTTTTTTTATTAAATGGATTCAAATGCATCAAGCTACATTCTAAATCAGGCCGAATACTATCTAAGCAAAGAGGATTCTGACATCCTCGATTTAGGACTAAGTTTACGAACTTTGCAGCCCGATCAGGCTTGTTATCCTTCTCCTCATGGTATGTTATGTTCATTTTTTTCATCATAGTCGTAAAACCTTCATAATCGAGAGAAATAGAAAACAAGTATTACTTGGGTTCAAATGTTTTAATTGCAGAGAATTGTGAACTCTTAGTCGATTGGCATCACCGTTTCAAAAGGACGACGAATTTAAACCCTCAAATGGTGATGAAGGAAAGCGGCCGTGATGGCGAAGAGTCAGAAGGGATTCAAAGCAAACAACGTTGGATGAGTTACGTGAAGGTCAACATGGATGGAGTGATTGTGGGTAGAAAAATCTGCATTCTCGAAAGTATGAATTACTCGAGTCTTGCTCTTCGACTCGAGGAAATGTTTGGTATGTATGTATAAGCCAAAAAAAAGAAGGGAAATTTATGCTTGTCTCGACTTTTATAGTCTTGTGCGAACAAATTTAACGATGGAATTTTTTTGTGCATTCGATTAGGGAAACAATCGAGTTCGGGTCTAAGGCTTTTCGAAGCAGAGTCGCGATTCTCGTTGGTTTACAAGGACAAGGATGGGCAGTGGAGGAACGTTGGGGATGTTCCGTGGATGTGAGTTCTCTGATTCTCATGTAAACTCATTAGAAGGCTAAATTTAGATTGAGGGATTTGAAATTTCTTGATTTTGGATGTGGGTTCTATGTTTCTCATGTAATTAAGACTACGTTTGGATTGAGAAATTTGAACTCTCTTGAATTTTGGATGTGAGTTCTATCTTTCTCTGTAAACTCACTAAGACTACATTTGGATTGGGATTTGAAAACCTCTTGATTTTGGATGTGATTTCTATGTTTCTCATGCAAACTCATTAAGACTACGTTTGGATCGAGAGATTTGAAAACCTCTTGATTTTGGATGTGAGTTCTATATATTTCTGATGTAAACTCATTAAGGCTACGTTTGGGTTGAGGGATTTGCAATCCCTTGATTCTGAATTTTTTGTCAATTGATTTCAAATCACTCAATAAATTCGTCAATCCAAACGTAGCCTAAAAGGCTTCTATTGCATATTAGTCGGCGGGTAACGATTTGATGCATGACACGGATGGTCGATCAGAATCGTTTTCGATTTTTTTTTTCATTGTCTAATGAGTAACTTAATGTTGTCTATGGCGATTATGATCAGGGAGTTTGTGGATCGTGTGAAGAGACTGAGGATTGCATGCAAGGATCAATATGACTTGAAAGCTTCTTAATTTAATATATATGGCTTACCAAAATGTATGTTGTTGTTATTATTATTATTACTATTATTGTTGTTGTTGTTTATTTATTTAAATAAAATTAAGTTTGGGCTTCCGGTATTAGCCTTTGCCTTAGTGTAGTATTCTCGAAACGGGCAGTGGCTTGCAAACCAGCCAGTTGGCCCGCCTAAGAGGATGGCCTTGGGCCTTTATATTGCAACTGAGTTTAATAAGAATATTACACAATTTATCTTTAAATTTTATTTTATTGTATATTTAAGATTTTTTTTAAAAAAAAAAATATTGTAAATATACTAACTTTCACAGATTATTTTTGGTTTATGCTAAGTTTATTTTTATCATTAATTTTTAAATTGCATCAATTTTTGTTTATAACTAGTTTATGAAAAATATATATATGGAAGAGCGAACATCTTTCACTCCATTATATACACTCTTTGTTTTACATAATGTTTATGTAGCGCACCGTACGAATGGAAAATAAAAGAAGAGTAATCTCTCTCGAATAAGTAATTTTTCTTATTCAAATTCAACGGAGTAAAACAAAAGTGGAGGGATTCTTAAATAAGACTCCTCAAAGTGATAGATTACTAGGTTATCCAATAAGACAATGATTCTAATAAGTAATATAATAAATAAGTTTCTTAACAAATTTAGAATTCCATCAATTATAATTAAACAAAGAAAATAAATAATTAACTAAATCAATGATGATAGAAGATATCTTGTCTTCATCAATCTCCCACTTTTGAAAAAAAATTACCCTCAACCCGTCTTTATCTCATCTCCAACCAACGAGACACATCTTTGCTTGGGTATCGAGATTGGAAATACGCCGAGACCAAAAAGACTCCCGACTTCCAATTGGCTTCACGCTCGCCTCTCGCAGAAGTCTGCTAGATGTCGCAGCATAACTGGACTAACTAGGGGGCTCTATGGAACTTGCCCAAGCCCACCTATTATGTTCACCTTACTTAGCCACACGAGTAGTCACACGACCTATCACATGACTCGTGACACAATGCCAAAATGTCTGCTATATAATTAAATTTTCATGAACTTAATTTAGATTTCCTTAAGTCTGTTAAATTAACTGAATTAGTACGGTTTGCAGATCATTTCTAAATGATGATTTTCGTCTGTTATCTTGTTACTTTTACCAACCCCTTTTCCATTTATATTTGCTCAATAAACAGATATAGGAACCAATTGTCAAAGTGAAGAACTTTATATGGAGATGCTGGAATGGCTTTATAGGCACCAACTGTCAGCTGAGGCAAAGAGGAGTGGAAGTGGATGCAATCTGTAAGAATTGTGGGGAAGAAGCGGAGACCCTGAAACATCTATTGTTCTATTGGAGAAGAACTGAAGTCTGTTGGAGGTTGTTAGGTGTTCATTGGCAAAGACTGGAGGCTGGGAGTTGTTCTTTCATGGAGTGGTCGGCTGAGACTATGAATGCTAGAGGGTTCAAAGCCATCAAAGATAGGTTGAGCATATCCACATACCTCCTTTGGTGGCTTGGAAGACAAGAAATTGTTGAATTTTTGGAAGGTAGTGGAGTCAATGACGAAGGTAGATAGGGCCCAGGGGGCCTTGGGCCCCCTTGAATTTTTGTTTACAAAATTTATATATATATATATATATATATATATATATTGTAAAATATGTACAAAAGATATTTACATTATATTAATAATTAAAAATTATTAAAAATCAATATATATATATGTATCATATATATATATATATAAACATGTATGTGTGTGTGTGTGAAGAAAATACTATAAAATATGTATAAAAATGTAAAAAATATTTTGTATTAATAATTAAAACTTATTTCATGTGCTATTTTTATATAAATTGATATTATCATTTATATACTGAAAAATGTACTAACAATCATTATATTTCAAATTTCTTGATAACCTTTTTAAATTATTTATAAGGATTTATATTTTGCTCTCTTAATTGTAAATCGATTTAGAGATTTATAAAACCGAGTATTTAGTTGGATTGTTACATCTTTGATTTTTTGTACTCTTTTTGTGTACTCACATATTACTTACTTTATTTATTATTTTCTTAAAAAATGTTCATTCGATAAGGTCTCATCAACAAAAATGCTATGAATGTGGTGCAAAAGTTCAATTTAATTTTTTTAACCAAAACACTTATTATTCAATAAATTATAGATGTTGAGCTTAAATTATAAATACATATAAAAATCTCATTTTTTATTTTATTTTATTTGTTTAAAAGATATCGGTGATACGGATTTTACGTTTTTACAAACTTGATTGTACACGTATCTATATTTATATTTGTAGTAAATACAATTTTATATGAAATGAGTATTTCGACTTAAACTATAAGGTCGTTATTTGACATTTTAAATTGGGCCCTCCTGGATAAAATTTCTAGATTCGTCGCTGTGTGGAGGGAAAGATAACTTCTTAAAGACCCGCCTGAGCCAATGTGGAGGGAAAGATGAACTAATTTGGCATCGGAACAGAAAAGTGGGGACTAGAGAAGGCCAAGGACTTGGGTTGTCACTAATTCACTTGCTAGTTTATCTTTGGCCTATTTCGCCGTGGAGGGGGATAATTTGTTCATTTTCGGTTTGGAGAGAGCCAAGTCTTTGTAATCAGTTGAGCCCGTGTATGTATCAGTTTTGCTATGAAGTCAACTATTGTATATAGTAAAACAGTTTGTTTCATAACAAAACTAATTTTTGTAATGGAGTTTAACAAAAATTTTTGGTATCCCATTTGAATAAAAAAAAGATTAATTGTGTTATGAAGAAGTTTTCCAGAACATAGTTTTTTTGACCCGAATCGCTCCGACGGGTCGACCCAGAAACTGGAGCCGAAATCGGTCTGTGTGGACTATTTGGACTGGGCAATAAAGGACCCGGTCAAACCCGGTCAAAACTCGGCCAACCCGGCCTTGACCCGGCCGACCCGAGGCATTGACTCGACTGGGTCAACCCAGTTGACCCGGCCCATATATATATTTCTTTTATTTTTTTTAATTTTTTGTGTTGAAAAATAAAACTATTTATGTATGTTAATATGGTAAATATTTATCATGAGATAGATATTATTAACATTTAATGTACATATTTTATACACAAACATTTAATTTTGTTACTTTTATGTATATTTATATGATAAAAATACTCTATATATAACTTAAAAAAATTTAAAATTAATTATCTGATTCAACAATTGACCCAATGACCCGACGGTTGAACCGGTGATGCGATAACTCGGAGACCTGCCCGAGTGGATTACCGGTCTCAATTTAAAAACTATGGTTCCAGAATGCTTGGCTTTTGACTGCAGTCGTATCGTGCAAAGAGAACTGTCCAAAAAATGAATTATTGGGTCTTATAAACTGTAATCTATTATGTAAAAGTGGAATTTACCACTAGTAAATCTTATCTACATTATTCTATTTAATATGCATTGGGTTGTATGCCTTAAGTTTTGCCTATAAAAGGCAAGAGAAGTGTTCATTTATTGTACAAGAAAGTGACGGACGAAAATAGAAAGAGGAAGAGAGAAAAGTTTGCTATAATTTATATCCGGTTTTTATACATTGTGTTTTTTATATCCCCTGTATTTTATAACACGTTATCAGCACGAGCGCTCTACCCGGTCAAGAAAAGTAGGATATACATACATATTACTATTATTCTTGACAAGTTAGGCTCTGCCACAGTCAAAGATATATATACATATTGCTATTATTTTTGACAAGTTAGGCTCTGCCACAGTCGAAAATATATATATATTACCATTATTCTTGACAAGTTAGACTCTTCCACAGTCGAGATATGTATACTAAATATGATATTATCTACACGTTACCATTATTATTGGCAAATTAGGCTATGTCATAGTCAATAATATGTGGTGATATGATATTATTAAATTTGCTTATGAATTATTTTTCAAGTTCTAATAAATGTTATTATTTATGCTTAACACTCACAAAAATGGTTTACCCAGTAATGTGGCGTGAAATTTATAACTGTTTATTCATGTACTTACCATAAAAATTATCAAATAATGTGGAGCATTTTTTTACTTGTTTTGTTATATTCGCGAAAATATTCATCAAATAATTCGAAATTTTTTTTTAAGGTAATATACATGATTAATTAGAATTTTATGATCATAAATGATTAATTAGCAAATATTATATCATTAAATTTGTTTCCAACGGCTAGTTAACGGCTATATTGTAACGGCTATTTACCAATATCAATATATATCACTACAATTCATTTTCATAATACAAACACTCAAAATATATTGTTTTAAGAAAAAAAAAATGTTTGATCCATTACTTATAATTACCATTATCTTGTTTATTATTTATGTTTTCCTAATTTTCAAAATGATGTATCGTACTGTTGGATTTAAATTTTATGTATTAGGCCTTTGTATAATGTGTTTACTATTTGCTCTTATGTACGTATTGAAGAATTAATGATTATATATGTAATTTTTCGAATCTAAGCATTGATGTTTTATTTTATAGTTATCATGGCAAATCTGGTCAAACTTGAATTCGAATCTCTCGATATCTCTGGGAAAAATTATATAGCATGGACATTGTATGCCGAAATACATTTGGCGGCAAGGGGATTGGAAAAAACAATAATATCCCCGAAT